AGGAGCAAACACAATGGAGGTGGCAGTATTTAAATGAGGGTTTTGTGTGTTATAATGGTTTCCGCCATGGAGAGTCGGGAGGAAAGCAGCCACTGCGTTAAAAACCTTGGTTTTTTCGTTCAGTGTGTCCCGAGTATGTGGAAATGGTCAGCCTGTCCGCCTCCCATAGCCGAGGTCGCTGGTTCGGGTCAGGGCCGTGCGGTCCGTTCTCAGGAGCAACTGTTACTAAATGGTGTCAGAGTGGCGGTTCTGGGGACTTGATCAAACATGACTTAAACTAGGGCTGGGCGATTTGGCCAAAAATGTTATCACGATAAAAACATTTCATATCGTGCAATATCGATAATTATCGTGATATATGTCAAATCATTATTTCTTTCGAGTTTAAAGGCTGATTTTTGCTCCTGACTGAAAATTGAAGAAACCAGATGGTTTATTATGTGGTTAAATTATTCTTATGGTCAGAATGAACACATGATGCCAAACAGTGGATTACTGAACAAATATGAGATAGAACAATCAAAACTATTATGATCTTCTTTTCAGACCAATTTTTTCTCATCAAAATTAATATTTTAATATTAAAATTAAGTGCTAATTTGATTCAAACGAATTAAACCAAATATTTATTGACGATATATTGAACATTTATTATTTGATATTTAGGAAAATTATATACAATAATTGGGCCAATAATCTATTCTGACCAGCCTCGGCTCGGGAACGCACCTTTGATTGTCGAGACGGCGAATCTGACTCAAAATTATCCCAGTTATCCTCTAGTGTGCGGCCAGCATTAGCCAGTTGTTGAAAAGGTGATGTCTGATCCCTGTTTTTTTTCCAAACAAACAAAAATTCCCATTTTGTTCTTTAAAAAAAAAAAAGAGACAAGCTCTGTAAAGCTTTCTTTTTCTGTCAGGATTAGTCACTGGGTGTGAGAGAGAGCAGAGTGTGTGTGTTAGCTGAACTTGCTGATACAGCAGAGACACCAGGTGTAATAGAGCGAGTGCCCTTTTACAGAAGTCATTCTCTAATGTGCTGCAGAACGCACACACACTCACACTCACACACACACACTCGTCTAGCTGGCATGTTTTCTGCTCGCTGATGCCAGACGAGCTTCCACGCATGGCTGAGAAGTCGAATGTGTGTGTGAGGAAAATGAACGGAGGGGTGAAGAGGATAAATAAAGAAGGATGTGAAGGGTTAAAACCGTTATAAAAGGAATCTATACAGAAGTGGGAGAACGTGGCCTGGTAGAGGCTGACGCTAGGAGGGCGCGTTGGTTGATTTTCATCCATCATTTGGGATTAAAGAGGTGGAGGAAGGGAAGAGGATGAGGAGGAAATGTGAACGGGAGGAGGAGGAGGAAGCGAGCTGACGGTGGGAGAGGATTAATGTGCTGGTCAGTAAACATGAAGTGAAGCCGGGAAGAAACTCCCTCGGTGTGCTCCTTAATGTGTTCCCCGCAACAAAAAGTTGTTCAAACTGTTTCCCACCGAGCTCAGATTCCAAAATATACGTTTCAGTTTAGTTTACCCCTCGTGTTAGCCTTAAAGAGACTTCAGGAGGAGTCCCAGTCATATAATCATATTAAGCAAATGTATTTTCCAGACTGCGACCTTCATCCGTCCTCCTTTGTTTCAAGCATCATTATTAAGTTCCAGTAAATGTTGTGACTGTAACGCCTGTCCCCGAAGGAGAGCATCGAGATGCAGTTTATACCATGTACACCTATAAAACTAAGCCCTGAGATAATTTAATAAAGATCTGCGTGAAGTGGCTAAAATGTCACTATCTCACCAGTTAAAATGAATAAATACCAAAGTATAAATAGTCAGTATTTGTGTTGAGCTTAAAGATTCCTTTGAGTTTAACACGTAAGGGTCAGTAGATTCACTACATGAACATTATCAGCGACTGAAAATTACTGTAAAGGATTAAAAATGTTCAGATATTGACAAAATGCAAATGTGTGCTCGTCTCCATGCAACAACGAGATGACGTTACAGCCTCCTCATCGCTCCACACACGCCTGATGTTTTCAGCGCTTTACCTTGAGTCACTGCTTCATGCATATGTCAGCATTTGTTCCCTCAGTCTGTTTCCACTTGTTTTTTATTGATACATTTCCACCTCAACGAAAGCATAAAAACTTTTTTTTGTGATAATCCCACTCTGAAAATTTGCGTAAAAACAGGATGATAACGCGCTGTTTGACGGCAGGTTTTCCCACACATTAGTTCTCTCTGACTTTGGCATCTAATAAATAAATTAACCTCTCAGAAGCTGCTGGCTGTGAAATGAATGAGGAGGAGGAGGAACAGGGAGGAGGAGAAGGGTTTAGTTTAAAAGTTCTGCTGATTGTCGCAGTGTGTTGGCAGAACCTCTTCCCAGAAACACACCCACACACAGCAGAATGAAATAAAGCCTTAACGTCTGAAGGAAGCCGTGTTCCTCTCTATTAAACTCTCTCCACATGCCTCCACTCATCTTTGCTACTCTCTCCCTCTCTGGTTGTTTCAGGTGTTCTTAACCTTTGTGAAACGCCTTTTTGAGGTTAAAAATATTTAATCAGCAATCAGCGGCTTGGAAATCACGCATACGAGGTCGCATATCAAAAACCTTAAATCCACATCACGCATACGAGGTCGCATATCAAAACCTAAATCCACATCACGCATACGAGTCGCATATCAAAAATCTTAAATCCACGCGTTCGGGGGATCGAGCTGAATCAAATGGTATAGGCCACGCCCATTTTCGCCTAGACTTTTTTTTTTTCTTGCAAAATGGCGAAAACTGAAAAACCTATTTTAATTCATTCCTCTGAACCGGCAAGAACCGGCACCAAACTAGCCACGGACAATCTCTGGACCAAGCTGATAAAAGTTTGTAGAGGAAATTATGATCCGCGAAATAATGTCCCAATTATAAGCTAACAAATAATTGCGAAAAATGCAAAAAACAGGAAGTGATGTCATATCTTAGGTTAGTAATAGCCGATCAACACCAAACTTGGGGAACTTATGTGACATGGCTTGCTGAGTGGCACTCGCCCTTAGTTAGTCGGATTGACATGAAAGTTGAGCCAAATTGTTCAGGAAGCTCTCTTGACTCCAGGCACCAAAGTTGACCCTAATATGCCCATAGGTGGCGCTGTTTTTGCAGATTAAAAGACGTTTTTAAAAATCCCATTGACTTACATTCATTTCAAGTCTGCTTGACACCAAATTTGGGGCTGTCTCTGGACCAAGCTGATAAAAGTTTGTAGAAGAAATTTTGATCTGCCACAAAATGTCCCAATTATAAGCTAACAAATGTTTGCGAAAAATGCTAAAAACAGGAAGTGATGTCATATCTTAGGTTTGCAATGGCCGATCTAAACCAAACTTGGGGACCTTATCTGGCACGCCCTCCCAAGGGGCTGTGTGAAATCAATCGGTCTCTAGCTGGCGCTATTAATCGTACATAAATCTCCGTAACTGCAAGTCCCTTTAATTTCAAACTCTGGTCATTTATTCACCACGGGCCGACTCGCGCAGCCTCTGCGGGGCACGGGGGGCGGCTGGCTCTGGGGGGCTTGAACCCCACTTAGAACCGCTTACAGTTCCAGTTTAAATTCTTATTCTTCTGTGGCGTTTTATAGCGGTTGGCATTACTGCCACCTACTGGATGAAACAGTGCAAAATATTTACAAGTGATTCCATTCACATCTATAGTCCGTCTAGTTATTTTTAACTTATTCTTTTTCTATTTTTGAGTCTATAGTAGCATTCTCGCACACCCCGATGGGACCAGGTCCCGACCCCCAGGTTAAGAACCACTGGTCTATCATGCTCGCCCTATCTTTTCTCTTTCTATCTCCATAACTAAATGAATCACACTTTACAGCTTGGTGCAGAATAACACATTTGGGAATTTGGTATTAATATTTAACAAATATTAAATAATATTACATGAAGCTATTTACAATACAATATGCATTACAAATTTGCCCACACAGAGTCCTGTGTATGAAAGCTTTACCCTTTCAGTGCACATCCTACAGTATTTTGTGTGTTGTTTCCATCTCTTCGTTTTGCATCAGCAGCAGCTTGCTACACGCTACAGAAGCTAGCGGCGTGGCTGTAGGGATGGCAATCCTGGTCACTCGGTGGTTTACCACAATTCAGGCTGAAATATTGCAACAACAATTGGATGGATTTTCATGAAGTTTGGTTCAGACTTTTATGTTCCCTAAAGGATGAAGCTCACTGATGTTGGTGATTCCTGAATGTCCTCCCATCGCCGCCTGCAGGTTCACATCTGTGGAGTGAAAAATGTCAATGATTATTGAATGGATTCTCATTATATTTGTTTCAGGTTGAATTGTAGTCACTTTGGTGATCCCTTTACTTTCCTTATTACACCACCGTCATATCCTGATTTCAATTTGTCCAGTTCAACAGCGTCTCTTATTATTGCCGCTCTGGGCCGTCATTGTGAGCACGTTAGCTCACATTAGCATTTAGCTGAAAGCACTGCTGTGTACATCCTCAGGTAGCAACTATGGCTGTAGTCTCTTCTTGTTCCGGAGTTCAGTTGCTCATAACAACATGTGTTAGGACGTGGTTTCAGTTTTTTAACACGGTTTAACGAGCTGCTTTTGACAGCTTGCAAGCTTGTTGTTCAATGGGTTGGAATAAATATAGAATTGATAATAGATCGGGGGTTTTAACAGTCCATATCGATCAATAAAAATGTTTTTATTTCAGATTTGGTTGAGGGATTATTAATATACATGCATGGACACATCCTCATCCTTTCTCTCAGTCTTACTCTCCCTTTCTCTTTCACTTCTGTTACCTCCATATCTACTGAGACTTTTTGCACACAACCTCATTGTTTGCAGTTGAAGTGCCGACGAGCACAGCTGCTCAGAGGTCACCTGTGCAGGCTGTGGTTGCACAGGGCATTCTGGGTAAATCTCCGCCGCATCTGTCTCTGTCTACTTTTTAGGTGACGGCACGCTCAGAGTTTGGGATGTCAAGGGCGCCGTGTGTCGATTGGCGATTCCTGCACACAAGGCTGAGATCCTTAGCTGTGATTGGTGCAAATATGACCAGGTAATTGCTCACCTGATGCAGCAACTTTTGGCTTCAACAGGTTTATTTGAGTTTGAAAGGCATTTGGATTATTTTAGTTCACCACATGCATTCAACAAGCTGCATTCTTGATTTATTTCTGTTTAAAACGCTTTATTTTGGTTGTAAAACATTTAATTGTGTTCTGTCTGCAGAATATTGTGGCCACAGGCTCAGTAGACTGCAGTGTGTGTGTGTGTGGGACATGAGGAATGTCCGGCAGCCTGTCAATCAACTGCTAGGCCACACCTATGCCATCCGCAGAGTTAAGGTACGCACACACACACACACACGACCTGGTTTCACATACGCCGCCAAATGTATTGTGACAACACAAAATGTGTGTGTGTTGGCAGAGATGCAGTGCATTGTCTGACAGCATCAAAACACCCACTTAAATGGACCTAATAAGACCACATGCACACGCGCACACACACACACACACACGCACACATTAGACTTGTGAGCGTGTACAGCTGCAGAGGAGTCCCCAGACACATCACGCTTACTCAGATGAAACGCGTCACTTCACGCACACACAGACGTCACGAATACGCACGATTACAGACGTGCCCACACACAACCCCCACGCTGCCACACACACAATCAAGATCGAGGAACTGTCTTGCTCGAGCTGTGTTTTCCCGGGCAGCTGTCACTCTGTGTGTGTTTTGTTAGTGTCTGCCGATCTGTCTGCCCGTATCGATTTACCGGACGGAGCAGAGAGGAGGTGAACGGATTCATGATCAGCGGAAGAAGAAGAAATAAGCTGACTTTCCGTCCCTACTGCCGAGTCAATTTTAAGATAGTTTTAAAGAAATTTGTCAAAAGGCTTTTGTAACCTGGTTTTTATTTTAGTAGTTTTGGTCAATTATTACTCAAATTGTCACACCACAGTTTACAACTTTGATCTGCTGCACTGTGCACAAAGTGTTCCAGTGCAACCTGTGTACCGACGTTTCCTCTCCAGACAGAGTGGTTTAGATCAGTGGTTCTCAATCTGTGTCTTGTCACGGACCCTAAACTGACACAAATTAGACCACGGACCTCCAGTTGATAAGATTTAGCTTTTTTTATATGCTTTATTACAGAAAGTGTAAGAAACGCAAGACCAAATTGGTCATATGTTTGGTCACTGTGTTACATTTAGATGGAATTATAGTGAAAATAAAACTTTCCCCCGTTTGCTGGGGACCCACTGGAACCTCCTCAAGGACCCCTGGGGGTCCCTGCTTGCTAATAATTTGGATAAACTGGAGGGATAGATTGTCAGACTGCTCATGTGGCTGCTCAACAAATAACCGTGCTGAAGCTGCAACCTAGAAATGATGGACAAAAAAATAAAAATGGGATTTTACCTTTAAAGAAATACATATTCGATTTAATAACTTTATTTGTAAAGCACTTTTCAAAACCAAGTTACAAAGTGCTTACAGTAAAAACAAACATTTAGTTTATTAGTTACACCTAGCTTAAATCTAAATGTTTAAAGTTAAGCCAGACAGGGATCCAAAGAAAGATAAACTCGATATTAGAGGGAAAATACTAAAAAATAAAGTCAGTGTTGAACTTTCCCAGTGTCAGACAGACGGCATTGACAGAAAGACGCAGTTAGTTCACCACAGCTGCTCAGACTCGTGTTATAGTTGTTGTTTTTGCTTCTGTAACAAAAGGTTTTTGCTGATGATACATAAAGCAGCTGTACGTTTGACTGAGAGACGGATAGAAAGAGAAGACAAGAGGCAGCACCAGAGTGGAACGGTGTTAAACGAGCCAGAGACTTGGCGTGAATCTGCCTGATAAGAGAGGTGAAACTGTCAGAAAGCAGAGAGCGGGAACAAATGAACGAATAAATTAATTTTAAGAGTGCTTAGCCGACAGCCAGTGAAATTACTCTCTGTGGACTCTTTTCAGTCTCTCTTTGTCTGCACAATCCTGTAACTGCTGAGCACAAAAAAACTCCTGCCTGAAGCTCTTTGTCACGTCACGTTTTTGAACATTCACACCTTTTTTACAAGATGAGGGAAACCTCCAGCTCCAAAAGAAACCGCAAAAAGCTCCGAACGCATGAAAGTGTTACTCAGCCAAAACATTTAGTTTTCTTTATTCACTAGAATAATCAGTAAACAACGCCACAGGCCTTCTGCTTTGTAATTTCTCTCTTTACTGTGTAAAGTCTTTATTTCCATTTGCACTGTTTACTGTGGCTACTGTGTTATAAGTTAATTTTAGTTTTATTTTAATATAGGTTTAAGGTATGTTTAATGTATGCATGTTTCGTATGCTACTGGATACTTGAATTTCCCTCGGGATAAATAAAGCATCTATCTGCAGTATCTATTTGTTATTTTATTTTGAAAGAATAGCTTGCTCGACATGAACAATTTTTACCTGTTTATTAAAGAGTTATGTGACCGTTTCTATGAGGTCATAAGTTAACAACCAGGAAAATACAGTTTTTATCAATGGAGTCTGGTGGCTTTGACGAGAGCAATGTAGTGACTGGTTTCTGGTTAAACAAAAAGGATCTTACTCTTTAAAAAAAGGTCCCTCTCTGCAGCGACCCTTTCCATTATGTTATCAGACAGTTATTATAACAATCTGAGCCTGTCAGCCGCAAAAAACAAGCGCTTTAGTGGAGGTACTTTGCCCGCAAGCATGACGTGGTAGCCCTTTTTCACTGCTGCCAACTGCAGCGTGCTCGATCAATACTGGACTAATTTCAAACCCAGACAGAAAAACATGGGAAAATGCCCTTAAATAGCAGCTCAACAGAAAACTCTTTAAGTGGGATGTTTTTTTGTGTGTGAACATCCCTGGATTTTTTTTTCTAAACAGGTCACAGTGTCCTATTCATGATGCTCTGTGTAAATTGTTCCTCACGTAATAAGGACAGAAGTTTTGTTAATGTTTGGTGAAAATGTAAATTACAAACATTCAGTATTATCTCATGAAAAGCAAATGCAAAGTCGAGTCTGAAGCAGAATTGGACCAGAAGTCAAAGATGTCACCATTAGCTATAGAAACAGGCAGGTTAGCTTAGCGAAGACTGTGGCTGCTCTGCTTTAAATCCCTCCTTCATATCTTATAATCAGTTTTTGTTGCTTTAGGGAAGTCTCGATTCATATTAATATGAATATGCAATAACACTATGCTTTAATACATGTGCACAGGACTTCCTGGAAAGCAGTGTTGATGCTGAGTGGATCAGCCTGGTGAAATTAAGGAATTGAAACACATAGTTCAGCACAGCAGCTTCTCTATTGGTTGACAGACCAAATACATTTACTCACGTGCTGTATTAAAGTACAAATTTTTTAGTAGGCTACTTGAGTCAGATTTATTGCCAAGTTGTTTTTACATTAGTTCATTTAGCTGACGCTTTTATCCAAAGTGACTTACTATTGCTATATATGTCAGAGGTCGCACGCTCTGGAGCAACGAGGGGTTAAATGTCTTGCTTAGGGACACATTGGTGGATGGGTCACAGTGGGGGATTGAACCCAGGTCTCTAACAGCAAAGGCATGTGTCTTATCCACTGTACCATCACCACTGCACATACAAGGAATGTGTTTTGGCGACTTGCACAACCTATATAATATAAAGATCATTAAGTATTTACATGTGCAATAAAAGAATTGGTTGTGTGTTGGATTATTTTTACAGTATATTGCAGTATTTCTACTTTCACTTGAGTTCAGGATCTGAATACTTCCTCTGCTGCATTATTGAAAATGAAAAATGAATGACACACAAACAAGTGACCCTCATATTGTTGACTCTAAGAAACAATTTAAAAAATAATAATTTTAGCTTTTTCCTAATTCTAATCTTTCTTTCTTCCTCCTGCAGTTTTCTCCGTTCAGTAAAACGTTGTTGGCGTCCTGCTCGTACGACTTTACTGTCAGGTAAGATCAACTCAGACACTTCTTTTTTGCATGTGTAGTGTTGCTCTAAATCTTTTTCATCCGGATCAAGAAGCACATTGTGAACCATATTTTTACAGGAGAATGTGTTTGCACAAAATAATTTATAGTAAACATTAGAGGAGAAACTCAAACAGTGTGGTCCAGGCAGGAACCCCGGGGGGCTTATTCAGACGTCTCTCGAGGGAAAATGAAGATGACATGCATGAACAAATATTCCTCATATTGATCTTGCTCTACAGCACTTAATTTATCTTGTAACTTTCAAAGGTCGTGACCTTTCTCTCACCTTCTTATATGTATGATTAAATTAAAATGATCAGAATTCACTTAACACACTACTTTTCTGAACACTGACTGCAATACATAAAGTGAGAGTTAATAACAATCTGTGATCAATAATAATTTAGAAGAATTAATATCAAATAATTAAAAATTAGTTGTCTACTATTAAATTAATCGCCAGCTATTATGATAATCGATTAATTGGTTTGAGTAAATTTTTAAGAATTTTTTAAATTTTTTAATTCCAGCTTCTTAAATGTGAATATTTTCTGGTTTAATTTCTTCGCTATGCCAAGGACGTCTTCTTGGGCTTTGGGAAACATTGGCCGTGTTTCCATCCAATTGTCATGCGAATTTTAAGCGGACTTTTGAAATGTCGCTAAAAAGAAAAAAACAAAAGAAATATGTGCGTTTCCATCTGCTGGTTCGGAGTGAATAAACCAGGCTGCGGCGAGCGTAGTTACGTCAGTAGTTGACGTTACACATGGCTGCAATAAACAAGACGTCTGGGTTCCAAACCAGAAACTGGAGAAAATGGAGAGAGGTCCTCAGGAATGTGTCTGACGCGGGCAAACTGCTACCAGCCATGTCTCCGCACGTTATGAGAATATCCGGTGTTACGCCAAGTTTTGCATGCCTGCAGAGAATTGCATGCACCTCCAAATACTGCTTTTAAACGCTATAATATCCTTTGTAGGGTTCATCAATGGTGATAAATGATTCCAAGTATGTATTTTATGAACGTTTAGAGTCAGTAATTCTTTATTACACTCAGTAGAAGCAGCTTTCAGTGAGATGCAGCTAAAATATGCGGTGATAACCGCGTTTGACCAGCGTGCAGAGCAAAGGATCTGAGAAGGACCTTTAAGAGGTGAATGCATAATTCAGCAGAACGGATGATGAAGGCTACCTGCCCAGATCTGCATCCGCCTCTTTTCTCAGCACAAATGAGCGGCAGGAAATTCTCAGCAGGCGTGCAGAACTGTGCACAACTGGGCAAGACAGCAGAAACAGCTGATCAGACGCGAGTTACAAGTTCGCTGCGTCAGAACTTATTTGTAAAAACTGTTTCCATCTCCCATTTAGCGCATTTACTCTTTTTTTTTTTTTCGAAATTAAGGATTTTTTTCACAGAATGTTGCCGTTTCCATCAACCTAACCCCCTAACCCTAACATATGTAACGGTTCTGACAAAGACTAAACAACTAATCAATTAATTGAGAAATTATTCGACCAATTCGTCGACAATGAAAATCATCGTTAGTTGCAGCCCTACATATACACACTGCGTTATCGAAATCAACATGTGAAGAATTAAAGGACCATGCCAGAGGATTTCACGTGTTGTAGACAGTTGTGTAAACATTGTGCAGACCATTGTGCAGAGTTTTCAAATCAAACTGCATCACCAAAGGCAGCAGCTAAAGGGTTCAGTATGCTTTAGACCAAATTTCTAATTCTGTTGGGCCTGATTTTAAAACCAGCACGTGGAGACGGGCTAAATTATTTATTATTACTAAATACTTTGCCTAAAAAAAGAATGTACTATTTTTTATTAGCTAAATGTTGTTTCTAGAGCAGCAACAGGAGAATCGATACAGCTCACTCTTTAGCTACTGCCATATTCTATATGTAGTATACTTTTGTTGTCATATATATTAGATTATGTGCTGGGTCACGTGGAGGTTGCTTCGGGCCGCCAGTTGACTAGGGCTGCTTTAGACAAGCTGCTTTTGTAAGACGTGTTAAGTTTTAAAATTAACCGATCAATTAATTTAGTCTATGGAATGTCAGGAAGTAGTGAAAAATGCCCTGCGTGTCGTCTTGAAATGGCTTCTTTTGTCAGACCAAGCGTTCAAAACTCATTTCAAAACTATTTGAGAAGTATTTGGCATTTATAGACACATTTGACTGTTTGAAACCAACTTTTCCTGCAGGTTAAAAGACTGTAGCGGCGCATGTGGTCTCCAGCACCGAGTCGTATTTCTGCTTACGCTCCTTTTCTTTCAATTAGCAAGCAAAGTGGATGGATGGTGTCATGAGTAAGGACACTGTGATAATGTGCGATAAAGTTAACTGGTGTGCGAGGCGGAAAGACAGAAAGATGGAGACGAGATGAGCTGTTTCTTTATTGAGCTGCAGAGGATGAGTCAATAAATCTGTAATATCCAGCAAGACTGCCTCTGTTTCTCTCTTTCTCTCTCTCTCTGTGTTTCAGTTTTATTTAACATAAAGTTTATTCTGTAAAACTGCTGACGATTCATTTTCCCCTGTCTGTCTGTCTCAGAGGTTTCAATGATAGATGAATACATTTACAGATTACAGATAGATGAATGATAGAGAGAGACGGTCACTGAGAAATTGAGCAGCGCTAAAATAACTAACTGATTAATTGATTAGTCAATCAACAAGAATATCAATCATTCCAGATCCTTTCTCTGTTTTCTCTGCAAATTTAATATCTTTGGTTGGTCAGGCTTCGTCTTTAAACTTAATTTAAAGACGTGACTTTAGGCTCTGGGAAAAAAGTGATCGACATTTCTCTCTACTTTATGGTCAATAAAGAAAATAATCATTATCACAGAGCTTCTATGGAGCAATAATGGGTGGAGTTGGGGCTTCTGGAAGTTTTATCCTAATTGAAAATTTGCATTTGCTGAGGGGGGTCACGAAATGATTAGAGATGAAAGCAAAGAAAACATTTCTGCAACACAAGATTAAATTTACTTTTTCAGACTTTCAGACTTTAATCTTTGCTTTTTCCTTCCGAATTACTGGAGTGTTTTACTTTAAATTAATCAAATTAAACAAGAGAAAAAACTGCTCATTTGGCTGAAGTGATCAGAGCTGGTAGACATATGGAACATCGCAAAAACATGTTGTAACCACTTTAACTTACTCAATTCAACGTCCACTGCAGCTGATGTGACACTTTACGAATGAAGATTGGTGGCAATCTAAAAGACGGGTGACGCTAAAATAAACGAGACAGAATGAGAGAGAGGGAAAGAAGGAAGGCTGAAAGATAAATGTGGTGAGAGCTGGCTCTGTGCCCAAAGCTTGTGTTTTATTGATCCGTGCTTTCATTGGCTGAAATACTCTATGCTGAGTACTGATTTCATTATAGGCTGCCCTGACACACACACACAGGCAGACTTTTCCCTGAGGCTGCTAAAATCGCCTTTTTAAGGTAAGAAAATAGCCTTTATAATAATAATCCATTGAAAGAAGCCCGGAGGCTGCTAACAAAGTGAAAAGTTTGCGAGAATAAAACTAATACATAAAAATAATTCATGACAATACACTTTTGGAGGTTTGCTGAATACAAATGTTATTTTTCAGCTCTCCCTCTCACCGACACAGTTAAACACATTCTCACCTGTTACCTGTCCGTCACAGAGAAGTCTGAACTCGAGGTGAAGGTCTGGAGGATGAAGCTACCGATGCCCCCATAAGTCCACGGCTCTCTGTGCAACGTACGATTATCCACCAGTCTCATTAACTGAACAGTGGTCAGAATCAAAACAGCATAGGTCGAGATATCTTGTCTGTAGTACGGGTCAAGATGTCAGGAAAGCTGGACACTAAAGCACATTTAAAAACAACAAAGTGCTGTACAAAGTAATGCAGTTAGAACAACAAGAAATAAAGAAGCAGACCAATCAGATAAAAAGCAAAGACACATACAGCAATAAATAGAAATATGAAGCAACCAGGACAGAATAGCATAACTGTCCCTACACTGACTTGAATGCCAAAGAGTATATATGCATTTTAAGACGAAACTTTAAAATCTCAGTGGTTGGGGATGATGTAATGAAAATGGGAAGTTTATTGCACTTGTCTTGGGGCCACAACTGAAAAGGCACGATCACCCTTTTCAATAAAGCCTGTGGAAGAGCTAAGAGGACCGGAAGATACAGAGTGAGCGGGTCTAAAATATACGATGTAGTCAGTCCATGCAAGGCCTTAAAAACAATTAAAAGCACTAGTAACCAGGGAAAAAGAGCCAGTATAGGAGAGATGTGGTCCCTTTTCCTTGTGCAAGTCAGCAATCTAGCAGCCGCATTCTGAACAGGCTGCTAACGTGATAATGATGCCTGAATACAAAGAATTGCAATACTCAGTTCGGAACGATACCAGTGCATCTACAACAATCTTCAAATCCTCATGCGAGACAAAAGATTTTAGTTTTGCAGTAGTTCTTTAAATGAAAAACCTTTTGACAACAGAACTAATTTGTTTGTCAAATTATAACACAGAGTCAAAGATTTTTGGACAAGGGCCCCAAATGCCATAGCAAGGTGACGACTTGTTCTCAGCGGGTTTAATCAGGAAATCACCACATCATGTCGGTGCAGAGGAACTCTTTACAGCGTTCTTCAAACACTGAGAAGTTGCTGTTTCTTTAATTTAATCTTACACTCTGTCTTCTCCTTTATTGAGTTGCCTGCTGTACATCAGAGATAATCCTTAATGCATTCATTACTGCTGTGATAACACGGTTTCAGAGGGTTTACTGCATCTGATGTTATCTTATTTAAACATTGTTAATTTGACGGAGTCAGAGCTACAAATGATCCTGTAGTTGTTTGTGTGTATGTGGGTGTGCTTTCTTCTGTTGTAACAGCACATAGATTTGTTTTGTGAAATTCTTTTTCTCGGGTAAAATATATAAAGCAGTTAAAGTGTGTGTTTGTGTGTGTTAAAATAAAAAATATTAAATAAACATTTAACAGTAAGCCTATGTGTGTTGTGAATTTAATTCATATGGTTCATCAAATAAATAAAATAAATAAAACAGTAAGTGTGTGCTTGTATGTGTTAAAAAATATATTTTAAATTAAATAAATAAATAAAACAGTAAAAGTGTGTTTGTGTGTGTGTTAAAAAATAAAATAAATAAAACAGTAAAAGTGTGTGTTTGTATGTGTATATGTTAAAATATATATATATTATAAATAAAATAAATAAATAAAACAGTAAAAGTGTGTATATATGTTAAAAAAGTATTTTAAATAAAATAAATAAATAAAACAGGAACCGTGTGTGTTTGTGTTTAAAAATATAAAAAATGAAATAAATAAAACTGTAAAGGTGTGTGTTTGTGTGTGTGTGTGTTAAAAAATAAAATAAATAAAACAGGAAACGTGTGTGTTTTTGTGTTAAAAAGTATAAAAAATAAAATAAATGAATTAAACAGTAAACGTATGTGTGTGCCATAAGTCAGTAGTATGTAGAATTATTTTAACATAAAAGATACATAACTAAATAATAATTTGAGCGTACACTGTGAATGGCATACATGATTATGGATCTTTCATAGTGATTTGGCGTAACATTATAATTTATTGTCTGTTTTCTGTAGTTACTCGTAGTTGGGATTTCCTGTTTAAAGCAGAGATGGTCCATCTTTCCTGAAACAAAGATGCGAAGGTCAATTACATCTTAAATCTGAGCCCCCACCACATCCACCTGTTGGTGTATTTAGCTTGTCACACCTTCCACTGTGTAGACTCTGCTCACACACACCTGCAGGCCTTCATGTGTGTTGACAGACTGGTTGTAACATGTGCAAACACTGATCTAATCCACCTGCACATGCAAAGAACAAAACGGGAATGCACACAGCACATGGAAAATACATCTGAGCACACGCTCTTCCATAGCCACATATACAGTACATGAACACAAAGAGTGCTGTTAATCTGTTTTATACCTCATTTCCGCTCACCACCTCCTGTGTCCTGTCCTCGTTGTTTATTTAGTCATAGTCTCGACAATATCAGTTTTGAGTGGAGCAATCTCTGGGAACCCAGCCATCTGTCTCTGACTGGGGTCCACAATAAATACACTAATGTTAAAAGACCACAGTTAAGGTAAAACAATAAAACAATAGGATGGAATTACAGTGAATAATTTAAAAGCCCAATGGCAGCTGGGACAAATGAATTCCTAAATCTGTTTGTTCTGAATGTTGGTGTCTTGGATCTATGACCCAAAGGAAGCAACCAGAACTTCTCAAACAGAGGGTGGCTAGGATCCGCCAGGATTCACTGGGCCTTCCTAAAAGTCCAAACCTCATATAAGTGCGGGAGGTTGTCCAAACTTACCTGCAATTTTCCCGCACACTTTGACGGTGCTCTGCAATCTATTTTTGTTCTCAAGTTTGAGTGACCTGTACCAACCGACCAACGAGAAAGTTACAAGAGATTCGATGAAACAGGAATAATACATTTTTAAAAAAGTGTTGTCAACATTAAAACTCCGAAGCTTACAATGTTATATTTGATGTTACATTGCAGTTAGCAGCATTTTTCCAGAGAAATCTCACATTTAATCAACTGGTAAATGTGAAGAACACACACCTCTGCTAAGACCTCACAATCCACTTACATTTTTTTCCAATAATTAAGAAGTTATAACATTATTATGACTTAGACATGGCCACCAGACTGAAATATACCAAATAAATAAAAAAATTGTGCACATATTCGTGTTCCTCAGATGATAAATCCTAAGAACTTTGGGGACTTTTTATGCAGCCTCAGCAGTACTTAGCATGCTAACACAGTAAATTTTGTATGCTGACGTGAACATTCAGCTCAAAGCAGTGCTGTGCCAAAGGACAGCCTCACAGAGCGACTTATTAGCGGCCTTTTTACATCCCAATGCATGCCTGTCCTCGCCAGAAAAACACTGCCATAAGCCGACATTGTCTACGTGTGAATAATTTTTTAGCCCGTGTTATGTTATGTTGTCCCAACAGGTCCTCATACTTAAATGATAAAATAGGTCGATTGTCAGGTGTCCCAAAACGACCGTTCCCCAAAAAAGACACATATAAGCGTTTCTTTTACCGGACTTCCAGTAACCGATGCCCCATCAGGTTTAACACGTGAAACGGCCGTAGTTTGGTCAGGTTTAGGCAACAAAACCAACCTGGTTAGGTTTTGGAAAAGACAAGTCATCTACAAAACCTTCTTTAACTTTCCTCGTTTGGTCCGGACTTTCGGACTTTTCAGTTTGGTTTGACCCAAAATTGCAGGCGTGACACCTCTCATGGACCACAGTCCGGACCAAACAGAGGAAATTTGGTCCGACGAAAAGAGGCAGTCTCGGTCCGGATCAAACTGAACCATGGTTCGGTTCGTTTCTGGTGTGAAAGCATTTTTTGGAAGGTTCGGACTTTCGGTATATTTATAGGAAGTTTGGCGGTTGCCTTGTGAACCGAAAACAAACAAATGCACGGAGAAATGCATTGAAATAAGGACACGATTATAGATTTCCCGTGACAGCTCATCTTTTCAAACAGACGGCCACTATAGAAGCACACTGCCACCCATCTCTCTGGTCTCTCCTCAAACCGAGGTGCAGAAGGATCGCTTGGGGTCTTCACCTCCTTTCCTGTCGGCGACGTTATAATGTTCGCACAACGGGGACGTTTAATTGTGAATTTGAACTAGCCTAACTTGCAGTGTGAAACCAAACCAAAACTAACAGAATGTATCAAAACATGAACTTTGATACGGACCTTGGTGCGGACTTTCAGGTATGAAAGCCCCCTAAAACATGTTACCTTTGACTTTCTGAGCTTACTTGGCCCATCCAGCCACACCTCCACCTCCCTTACACAGACTTTGTCCCTCTTTAGACGACGTCACCTGACTTCTTCTACCACTAGAGGTCGCGGCGTAACAAAAACAAGTGTAAGAAGCTGCCTATACGGACGTTTTTTTAGCGAGGACGGGCTGGTTGTCCGGCAGATCCGGAAACAGCATCAAGATCAGAAAACACTCAATAAGTTAATTTGGAAGGCCATGACCAACCACACAGAGCAGTTAGCCGGCTTTTTAGATTTCAGTACTGAAAGAAGAATTAGAAGTATTTTGTTTCTTTCTTATTTGCTACCCAGGAAATCGTCTCATATCCCTGTGAGGTCCCGAACGACGTATGTACAGATGCACAGGTTGAAAGCGTTTTGTTGTAATTCGAATGAAAGCGAGACTCACGTTTTCCTTTTTTTAACAGCAGGTTAGCCGTGTCATGTTTGCTTTAGATAACATGTTCTCTGATCCTCTGCCTCACAGCAGTCTGTGTGACTCTTAATTTCCTGTTTAGATTAAAAGCACCAGTGACATCAACTCATGGCAGGATCAAATTACACTCTCTCTTTCTTTCTATTGTCTTCTTTCACTTCTCTCTCTTAAATGTTTTTTTTTAGCTCGTGTCCCTCCCCCTCTTTTTCTCTCTGTCCGCTGTGACTTAATGAGTTTCATAGTAAAGGCTTTGCATGTGTGTCTCACTGACAGGTGAATGGACGGTTCCACAGAATGAAATACAATAGAAGCGAAATAATTTCCTACTATGGAAACTCTGGACAAAAGACAGCGTGTGGCTCATTTATACAAATAACACGGTGTATTTGTCTAACCTGGACAGTCATCTGGTCCTATACACCCTCACACGTGGACGTCATCTGAACCTATAATTAGAATCACACATTAATCTCCTTTTTGTAGAAAAGAAGTCATAACAGATCCCACTTTCTCTCCCACAAGGTTAATGTAAATGCTTAGGATCGGCTGTGGACATCTCAACTAGTCGATTAATCAGCTCTATTTTCCGCCATGCTTCTGAATATCAGTCGTTGAACCTCAGCGCACCCGCTAGCGTCTGTGAGATGCTTTCCTTGGTCATAAATCAGAAACAATCTTAACTCTGGTACTTCTTCTGCTAATTCTTCTTTCAGTCTTGAAATCTTAAAAGCCGTCTAACTGCAGTCGGCGTAAATCATTGCTGTTGCTTATTTTATGAAGCCAATCAAGGCTGCGGTGGCTCTTAGCTGCAGGATTATTACTCCTGCCTCTTAATGCATTGAATGGGAGCGCTGGGACTTAAATGCAGTCATTAAGCTGAAGATGTAATGCCCTGCACTACGGGTGATGAATGTGTTATATTTGTGTATGGCTGAGCACATAAACCGCTCTCACTGTGCTTATATGTACTTACATTTAGATATTAGATCATAGATCTGGAGAAGATGGTGGAACTGGGTTGAGATCTGGTGACTGTAAAGGCCGCAGCATTTTATTCACATCATTTTCAAACTCACCAACCGTTCAGTGAGCGCTGGTGCACGAAAGCATCTGCATTTGATTAGTGTCACCTCTCTTTTATTCAGGGTTTTCCTTTCATTTGTCACCATCTGGATGGTTTGTTTGTTTGTTTGTTTAAAAGGGACGGTGCACATTAATGAAGGACAGTGTCCAAAATGTAAATGAGCCAAAGTTAGCCGTGCAGAAGAATTTTCATCTGGAGTCCCTGGCAGGTTGATGTCATAAGAAAAAAACCCATTAAAACATGGCATACAGAAACACACAGCAAAGTTGGCCCAGTTTAAAAAGCCATTCTTATTTAAAATATTACTATGATTATATGAATTTGACTTATTATCCATTGCGTTCAAAGCCCGTTTATAAACTGCTTCTTTCCTGTCTGTGTCCAGCTGGTAGTTCATTTGTGAGAGTATCATGGCATTGATGTACAACTTTGAGGCGTCTGTAGTTAAATTATTCCTTATGTGTCTACATGTTTTCATGATTACACTGTGGACTGTCGCTCTCCTCAAGCAGCGACTTTATCGCATTTTGATTTGTTAGTCTCTGTTCCAGCAAGACTAAAAACACAAACACACCACCCTCTCCTTCATGCTTTAATGTTCATTAGTAAATTAAAACTTTGCTCGTTAATACCAATAAGGCAAGAATGTGA